CCAAGGAGCCTGCTGAGACCTCCAGGCAGAAGCTGCAGCTCCCAGGAGCAGGATGGGAAATCAGGAAATCAGCACAGCACCAGGAACACACACCTCCAGCTCCAGCTCTGCTGCTGAGGAAATGAGCAGAGCGCAATCTTTTCCTCTTTTCAATTTTCCCTGTAGTACAACTCACCTCTTCCTAGAGGAAGCAAATTTCTCCCAGGTGAACACAGCTTCTTGCCCAGCTCATTCAGCATCAATATGGACATTCTGGTGGCTACAGCCAGCCCTGAACTTCAGGTGGAATTGGGCTCAGGGTGGTGGAAACTCCCTGCAGCACCACATCGCTGCTGTGTGATGGAAATCACAGAATCAAGGAATAGTTTGGCTTGAAAGGGACCTTAAAGATCAGCCCCACTGCCGTGGGCAGGGCCACCTTCCACAAAGTCATGTTGCTCCAAGTCCCATTCAGCCTGGCCTTGCACACTTCCAGGGATAAAACGTATCTAAAATATAAAATAGATCTCTGCAGCAGCAAGCATTTTTTTTGATCTCAAAGAGTATATGGGAATTTTAATTACAAGGCTACAGGGGAGTAGAAGCTGCTTCTACCACAGCCCAGCCCCAGTGGGATGGCACAAGGAGCTGTGCTTTCACCAGGTCTGGAAGAGGTATAAAAATGTGATACAGTAATTTTATATTAGAAAAGCAAAAGGTTTGTGCTAGTAAAATCCAAATCAGAAAAGCTGCAACAAAATAATCCCCTGGGGTTGCTGGGGAGCAGCTCACCTGAAGCGCAGCAGAAAGGGAACAGCAGAGTTGGAAGGGACATGCCCGTGGTGGTTCAGTGCTGGCTCTCAGGAAGGAAGTGTTGGAACAGTGGTTTTGTGGTGGCAGGTCACGAGTTCAGCACTTCCCCTCTGCTTCTGGCAAAGATTTGTGTCTGTGTGAGCAGCATGGACGTAGCAGAGGGGCCGAGGAAGAGGCTGGGACAGGGCACCCTGCACCATGGACACAGCTTCTTCCTACGCCAGGCGTCTTTGGATGACAGTTAATTAAATAAGTAACTTGAAGAGAATTTTTCCATTTATGTGACCAAGCATTTGTGCTTAGAAATGCTGTCTCCTGTGTGCTTCAGTTTGGACCATAGTCACTATAGCAAAGATTCTTCTTCTTGTTGTTTTTGTTGGTTTTTTGCTTCTTACCTTTCATAAGTGACTTTTCTTTGGGTACCCATGTAGGATATGGAATAGTTAACAGGAAAAGAGGATTACATCGAGTTTCATTTCCGCTGGTTTTCTCCTCTGTCCCCGGCAGTAGCGGCTTTGCTGCGGTACAAAGCAATCCCTGTGCAGTGGCAGATTTATGCCACAGGGGAGAGTGCTCTGCACATCACATCCCTGCCACGCCGG